TCCACGCTCCGACTTTGGAAACGAATATGCATACAAAGGACTTCCGACAAGGTGTATAACTCTAGGTCTTCCTGCCAAAATGACAAAGTTGCGAAACAAGGTCAAACAACTTAGAAACGAGCTTTAATTTTTCCCTTACATACTCCCTTTGGGGCTTCGTGATAGCAAGAAACACATTGGCATTTAGCATCTTAAAATTATGTAGCATCTTTAGGGTGGTGGGTTCAAGCATAGCCAAATTTCTTTCTATTGTTTCTCATATCTCGAATTCCAGGTATGCAGTATCTGCGACCTTTGTGCAATTTTGGAAAGTTTACAGCATCTGCAAATAAAACTGGTTGGCGTGAGGCTTTGCTTCCCTGCCTAACGATTTGTTGCCATATCTCAAATGAGTAGGCATTAAGGCCTCTTTTCATACCTTCGATTAATGCCTCTAGCCTGGCTACAGAAAGCTCTTTTGCCCATGCTTCGTTTGTTGTGATCTGATAATCTATCCATGATTTTGAGTTTAGCCTACGTTTGGCGACGTCTAACCAGTCCTGAAGCATCTATAAATAGCCATCATTCGATCTGTTTGTGGAATTTTAGCACTAAGACCGTAATTGAGAGCTGGCGATGTGTCCTACTATTCTAGAGATCCGGAGATCCGGGATTATGTCTGCAAGAGTGAATAAAACGTTGCGCCAGAGTGACGTTCACATCGACCGATGCGCACGTCCTAGCTATCAATAGTGAAGGCAGTCGAGGGCGGACCTTTCGGCTGCGTAGAACTTGAATTATGTATAAATACAGCCGAATCGATACTTATAGACACTTGGCTGCTCCGACTGAGTGAATAGTGGCTGAAGGCCCAGGTGCCATATCGCCTGCAGATGTCACATTGCACTGTGAATATCCAAGGCAAGGAGTATCGCATCGTTTTAAATGAGGGCGTATGCAAGGTTTTGGATGATGTCGCCATGCATTTGAGTAGTCACGAGGTGAGGCAAGAGATGTGCCGGATTCTCGAACAGTTGCCGTCATTCATTAGCGTCTGTCAGTTTCCGGAGATCGCCTGCCTCACTGACAAGCGCCAACTCATGTACCACGCCAACAATCTGTTGTCCATCACAGACCAGGATCTGCTGAAGCTGACGTTTGGCGAATTTCCAGGTGCCTTCCTCTTTCAGGCAGCTGGAATTCTGAAGTCGCGTGAGTCACTTTGGAGTTGGTTATCTTGAACAGAAGCTTACCATTCCTAGGGCTCTTGTGGTGATTCAAAAAGTAATAAGTGAATTATGCAAAATGAAATGATTAAGCCTCATAATGCCACTGAATTTAACGCAACGTTTATTCGTATTGGGTATGCTTGGAAGAGTTGAATAAGAGCTGTATTCAACCTAGATCGCATAAGGTAATGAAGGGCAAACAGTTGAAGTTTCCGACAGTAGTTCAAGCAAACATCACAAGTCCATTGAATTTAACATAAACTTACTTCCCAAAACGTATTTTCATTAAGGCTGGACTACAGTTTCAGCCTCGTCTGGGGTGCTGGTAACATGTCGATATTATACGTTGTACTACCCGGTTGCCATTTCGGTTAGTGGTGTTGATGAAAACAGGGCGAGGTCGAAAG